GCAGTTCCCAGACAGACTCTCTAATTAAAATGGCTTACCATCTCATGTATTAAGTCTCTGCACATTTCAAAATGGCCATGGAATTCTTTTTCCAAAGCTGATTCAATGAGGTTTAGATAAAGTACTCCAGCAGCTGTTTTGAAATGCGTGAGGGCTCAATACATGTGACAGAGGAGACGCTGTAGTGTTCTAATTAAAGTGTCAATGAGCATGTAAAGAGACCAACTTTGGCTTATATACCATCCTGGTTCAGTGGTGAAGAATCCAATGAGAAATAAAAAAGCAGTGGTCTAATAGATTTTGCCATAAGGACATTTTTAATGATATTCATTCAACTATCTCCAAACCCTTAATTTTATAATCCTTTGTATTGAAGTTTAAACAGTTGCTTCTCTTAAATGTTTGTAGATAGTTGTTATTCCCCATGTTATACCTATAAAATTCATTTTCTTTTAAAGCAATTAATTTTCATCGCTTTAATCAATTATTTGTGGGGCTCTTCTAGGAATTTGTTGAAACATTTCTAGTACTGAGATCTCCATAACTGAAATGAGTATTTGAGGCTTGGTTCAATTCCCATTGTAGACAGTGAAAACATTCCCCTTGATTTCAACAGGACTTGGATTGTTTGGGAATATTTCGTTTCTCAGGGATAATTATTTAATTTCTGATTTTTTTCTGTAATAAATTTGTTTCTTTCCATTAAAACAAAACCATAAATATGCCACTTTTACCCCATTGGCTGAAATGCACTTAATTCTTCTTTAAACATGTGTTTGATTATGAAACTTTTAAGAGTATAATCACACTGTTCTTGGTTATTGGGAATGTTCTTGCTACCTAAATTGCAAATAGGATCAGGATGCAGCAACTATTTTTTGTTTTCCTCCAGCATTATTCAAAAGAGCTGTCTTTAAAAATATGGCTCACAGTGGTGGGAAATGTTATGCTAGGACTGCAGCATATCAAACAGTCATGGTATAATGCTTTATCTCCACACAATGTGTGCACTTAAAAAGAAAAACTTGTTTCCTTGACAACATCATTTAACTTCTTACTGTTCTTGTCTACTTGCTAGTATAAATATCTAATGTGTTTTTGTTCAAAACATCAATTAGTTTTCAATATCATCTTTATTAATACAGAAGTGTTATTACAAGAGAGCTGCTGAGCTAAAATAATTTGCACAGTAGGAACAATAAGATCACACCCTTCTCTTTTGTTGTATCCGAGACACAATTGAAAAAGAACATGGCTAACTTAAAACAAGCCTTACACTACCTTACACAATTAGAGTTAAATAGTTAAAATCTTTGTCAGTAGGTGTTGTTTTTTCTCCAGTGTAAATATATAACAACACTTTAAAACAGCAGCTATAAAATGAACTGGCATGTGTTGACTAGAGTTAGTCACAATCACAAATGGTGTAATAACTTTTTTTTTCTTTTCTGCATCAGCCAAAACTCCCCATTTCTTGCGTCTTCAGAGTGTGGAAGTCAATGCAGGCCAGTTTGCCACTTTTCAGTGCACTGCAAATGGTAGAACAAACACAGGTGACAGGCTCTGGTTACAGGTAATTATTTTCTTTCTTAGTACACTGAGATGTTTTTGAAAGCGCTATTTAATCACTCTCAAAGAAGCATCACACAAGCTGAAACTAATAGGGTTACTTGTGTCATCAATATTGATCTTAATAACAACCCTGTATTGCTACATAGTAGTTGTTGTTTTGCAGCATCTGGTACTGAAAGATTCTCCTCCCATGTCAATTATGGAGGAGCACAGATAATATAAGAAAGACAATAGTAGCTTTTATGCCATTGCAGTTAGCTCTGGGTAGATGATGACTCTTCAAAAGTGGACAGTGCTTTCTGTTGGCACTGTCTATAACAGGAGTTTTCAACCTTTTTTAAGGAGTGTACCCCTTCTGGGTACACTTCTGGCAGAGTGGGAGGGCGGGGGGGACAGGTGACAGCAGCTGGATGTGGAGCAGGGCGGCTTGTACACTGCAGTGGCAGCACACAGTGGTGGATGGTGGTGGCCGCATGCAAGCTCCCCCCCACGTCCAGTCGGGCAGTGCCTGTGTGACCCACAGAAGGGAGCCGCTCCCCCACCCCCAGCCCTGCTTCAGGGAGGTGGCAGCACAGGGTGGTGTGTGGCAGCGCTCTGTCTCTGCCCACCCATGTGTACCACCTAGCCCCTTTCCAAGTACCCCCAGTTGACAACCCCTGATCTATAACAATCTATATGATAGATAGAAATACAGAGAGCAGGAAGTTTAGGTAGTCATGAGATTCCAGGGCAGGTTGACTTGTGGACTAAAAATTATCTTAGAGAGAGAAAACAAGGAGTGGGTATAAATGGGCAGTTTTGGGGATAGGAACAGCAGGGTCCCTTGGGGATCTGTGTCAGAACCAGTGATTTTAAACATATTCATAAATGATCTGGTAAAGGGGGTGAAAGTAGCCAGATTCGTGGATGACACAAAATTACTCATGTGCGGGCCGACTTCCGATCTCGCCTGGGTCGCCATGTGCGAGCTCTCTTCTGATCCCATTTGGGTCGCCATGTGCAAGCCGGGGGCGAGCCGGGCCCGTCTCTTGTGTGTACGCAGGCTGTGGCCGGTAGCC